TTTTCAAAGTGTGCTATTTTGTGCTGAAAAATCCTCGATATCAAACATTCTTGCATTTATGGATGGATTTGTTCAAACTTATTACACAGGTTAGACATTACAGGTTCTGATGCATGTCATTTTATTTTTCAGATTGGATTCAAAATAGCTGACTGGCGGCCATTTTGTTTTAATGATTGGGCTTCTAGAGCCATATCTCTTAAATGCTTTGACTGATTATATTCAAATTTTATATATTCGTTATACAACATGTTATACATATATACATGTATTCAAAATAGCTGATTTTGAATGCTGTTCCAGAGCAATATCTCTCAATATGGACAAGTACTTGTTTGACGATCAGATACAAATGTCAATCATTTTAATGTTAAAAGAATCATGTTCCTGACATGGTTAAATTCCAGCTATATTACTATAAACATAACTATATATCTTAAATTTGATAACTAGCGGGGACTGTGCCATGCATGGCTTGTTTATTAGGTTGTATTGAGTGTTACAATTTGAGTTCAATTTCTCTTCAATAAAAAAAACTTGTATATGACATTTGTTTGTTTCTTTCATTTTGCATCAGTAAATTGTATAGAACCCTCAAAAACAGGAGAAAATTGTATAGTGCCATCAATGGCTTTAATTTATTTTCATCAAAAGCAAGTTTATGGTTTTTCAAAAATATATTGGGGGGGGGGGGGGTCATCTAATCTGAATGAGATGAAAATGTACATCTATGCCCATTTAGTGTCCAAGACAACTATTGAGCATGCATGTAGTTGGTTGATTACAAATGATATTGGCAGTGTCTGTCACATGACTGGTAATAGGTGACTCCCCATTCTCTACAAGGTTTGCAAAAATTAGACACAAATATTTTTGCATTTGTCAAATTCCATACAAAGCTATGGCCTTTGGTTGTCCGAACTGAATGAAATTTCAAAGTATCTCATTTCCACCCTCCACTCTGATGCCAGTAATATCTCGCCACCAATTCAAATATGCTTACTTTAAAGTGGTTAATGTTCGGCGGTGTTTAATTTACCCGCATTGCGGGCTGGGGTTTTGTGCACGAAAAATAAACACCACAAATTTGTGTTTCGGGTGGCCATCTTGTTTACCATTGCCATTTTCAAGTTTTTATACAAGGCACTCCACGACCACCTCGAGCTGATTCACATTTTAAACAAGATTATGGTCACAAGCTGACGAGTTTCTGACAGTCTAATACAAATCGGTTCTCTGTACACCGTTGTAGAGCCAGTGAGAATACCAGTGTTTTCAACAGATATCATTTAACAAGTTCTTGTTAATAACATAGTCCCAGTTTTTAGTATAGGTGTGCGATGCACGATCTGTAGGACTGTTGTTCAAACTAGATTGATTCAATCATGTATGAAATATGGCTCCATGGAACTGTATTCGTTCGAACAAGATGATTGCCAGTCAGCCATTTTGAATTTGATGTTTTGAAAAATATACATGCTTTTGTTCGATATATCTGATGTTTGAACTTCATCAGTCCTGGCATGTTGGATATATAGACGGAAATCTGCATTCTTTAAAACAGAATGGCTGCCAGTTGGCCATTTCAAACCTGATCCAAAAATTAAATGTGCACCTAAATTCCTAATTATGTTTAATGTTGGCTCGAAGTGTAAATCAAATTCATCCACACTCTGAGATCAGGTTCTGGAAATGGTGAAAATGTTAGATTTTGATGCATTTTTGGCTGTGTGCAAACATATGCCAATACTATTACTTATGTACCATATTTTTTAACACTTATTATGGATGCACGTCAGAGTTATTTCAGAGTATCAGAGTCCGATTTCACTCGCTTGCACACTTGTATTGTTTATACGTAACACACATTCCCAGATCAACTCCGTGACACAGATCAGCTAAGAGGAAGTTGTGATCGGTACAGCTCGAGTTAAATCTTAAGATACAAGACTTCCAATGTTGATAGATAGTAGTCCCTCACCTTCAACATTTTATTTTTAAAAAATTGCCAGCTGAATTGCAATACATGCAAAACAATTTTCCACTTTATTAACCTAATCGCGTAGGCATTTTTGGTGGACCTTACGATATTTGTATAACAAGCGTTGAGAATGTACAGTCCCCGTTCTGCATGTAATTCAACCATAGTCCGTCACTAGTAGCGATTCACAATTATGGGGATTATTTGTGGCTATGATGTATTCTATTTGGTTCACATACTAAATTCAAACAAATAATGCAAGCTTTATCAGAGAAACTTGTGTTAAAATGAAAAGTTTTACCAACTATACAAAACTGCAAACAATATATTATGTTTAGCAATATAAATCTAAATGTTGATGCATAATTGCAAAAAAATGTTTTGATTCGATTTTTCCCATTGCATGAATATAGTGCATTAGGCAATTCAACAAACCTGAACTGCAATTTAAGCCCCACACCAAGGTTGTATAAAACATCTGTAAACAAGTCATTGTCAATGACACGTCCCCGTTCCGTTCATATTTGAGTGACATATACATTCAAAGCAGATCATGACCGAAATGCACCTGCATATGTACAACACATTGTGCTAAATCTGAACAAAATCCATCCATGCATGACTGAGATCCGGTTCTGGAATTGTGAAAATACGTGATTTTGATGCATTTTCGGCCTTAAAATGGCCATCATTCCGCTATTGTTAAGCAGATCATGAAACAAATGCACATATCTATTTGTGACATGATGTACCATGTGTGTGTGAAGTTTGAACTTGATCAATCCAGACATGTCTTGGATACGGATCCAGAACTGAATTCTTTAACAAAATGGCCGCCAGTCGGCCATTTCGAACTTGATCCGAAAAAAAAAGACGTGCATCAAGGTCCTATTATGTTTAATGTATGTACCAAATTTGAACAAAATCCATCCATGCATAACTGAGATACGGGTCCGGAATGGTGAAAATGTGCGATTTCAATGCATTTTCGGCCTTAAAGCGGCCCCC